TAAGGTGTCATCCTGACGATGCCTAGGACTTATATCGTCGATTCCCGGCGTATACATGTGGAATTGGAAATATATTATATCGTACAGTGGCCCCGGAATTTTATACTCTTAAACAACGCCTCCAACACCTCTTAGTGCTGCATACACATACATCCGAGGCTGGATTCTCCTAGCCCGGAGAGTACATACTTATACTTGGAAGCCCAGTCAACTTACATCACCATAGAAGCATTTTCAGGGCCTGCAAAGAATTTCTTCTGACCCAAGCATCGCTCGCTGGTGCAGCCCTGGCAACGCAGTGTCATCTGGCGAGAGCACAATTCTCCCTTTTGCAAGTGCTCTCGAGCAATATCGGCAAGTGCCTGGATGAAGACTGGACTTCCGTTCAAGCTCTCTGCACGCTTGACACCCGGGTTGTTGGCTTCATGAATGACTTCCTGATCCAGCTCGTAGAGTGTCTCAATGTGGTCACTTGTAAACGCAATTGGAACCAGGATCAAATCCGTCTGTCCTCTTTTCACATATTCTTGAACGGTATCACTGGTCTGGGCCCCGAGCCACGCTTTAGGTCCCACCTGAGATTGCCAGCACAGACGGTAAGGGTTTTTGAAGTTGAGTCGTTGCATTACCGCATGAACTGTCGCTGCAACTTCGGCAGCGTAGGGGTCGCCTGTGTGAGAGGGTAATTAGTGCAATTCTAGTAGATAATAACCAGGAGACATCGGCCTACCTCGGTTGATAACGCTCATAGGCAAGCTATGGGCCGAAAACAGCAACACGACTTTGTCTCGCTTCTCCTCTGGGTATGTCTTGAGCTGAGCCTCGATATTTTGTGCAAAAGCCTCCACAAGTCCAGAGTGAGACGGCCAACGGTCAATGACACTCCATTGGATTGCGCCAGTCGGTTCGGACCCTCCATTCGCGCGCTTTCCCTCGAGACGATTGCGCCACTTCCATAGTTCGTTAAGGGAACTGCCGGTCGTTGAGCACGAGTACTGGGGGTATTGTGTAAATGCGACAGCGCGTCCTCCCTTGCCATTGCCGAATCCATCGGCGAAAAGCTGCTCATACATAGTCTCCGTCAATGGGGCAGCGTAGCGGAAGGCAACGTAAGGCTTATGCGGCGCGGTCTCCGGGGAGATCTTATCCAATAGTTTACACATTTCTGTGCACTGATACTCGGACCATTTCCGAATGGGCGATCCGCCGCCGATATCTGCGTACTGCTTCTGGATCTTCGGGGTTCTTCGGCGGGCGATGAGGGGGCCGAGATACGATTGGAATCGTCCCAAGGGAATCAGATCACCATCTGCCTATAATTCAGAGTGTAAGCATATAATTTAACTCGGCCATTGTAGCAAATGATAATCCGTACAAATAGTCTGCTCAAGAAGTCCTCCACCTCATCCGTTGTGGAAGGTCCACCCATATTCATAAAGACCATAGCCGTTGGGCCCTTGGAGCCTGTCGCATTCTGTGTGACTGGTGGTACTACCGTCGCGAGCCCTCGCTGACTGGTCATGCATCTCAATCGACTGCTAATTGCCGACCGACCTCCAAGAGATGTGGTCCCATTCAATAACTGCCGGGGGATCGCGAAAGGACCGCGGAATGCCATGATTAGGTTGAGGAGATATTATAGCTGGAAGCACGCCAAAAGTAGTATCAAGATATTGGCGAGGAAATAACAATTCCAACTTATATCCGACGTGGACCTCGGAGTTGTTGAATCCGGTTCTGATTTCCTTACGTAGCTTCCGCTGCCCACCGACTATCAACCAATCACCTCAGGAAGATGTCAGCAGCTTCAGGCATCAGCGTCACCTGACTTTCGTGTAGCTCGCGTCGAAGAGCGCGTCTCTTGGACTTGATTAATTTACAACTTTTTATTATTTCCATTCTTCAAGGTTTCACCGGTTGCAACTATGGCTGAAGATAGTTACACGCGCGAAGAGGAGAATTACGAGGAGGAAGAGCTCGACGAAACCGTGAGTATCAAAATGCGGAAGTTATAGTTACCAACTGTTGACTGTTGCCTACATAGAGCTTCAAATCAGTCAAGGATGCGGTGCTATTTGCTATAGACATTAGCAGCTCGATGCTCACGCCTCGTCCATCGCCTGATCCTAAGAAACATGGCGACGAATCACCCGCGTCTGCAGCCTTGAAATGTGCATACCATCTGATGCAACAGCGCATCATCTCCAACCCCCATGATATGATTGGCGTGTTGCTTTATGGAACGCAATCTTCCAAGTTCTATGATGAGAATGAGGAGGAACGCGGGGATATATCATATCCTCACTGTTATCTGTACACAGATCTTGATGTTCCATCAGCCCAGGAAGTCAAGCAACTGCGGTCCCTCGCGTCTCCAGCAGATGCTGATGATGACGTACGGAAAATCTTGGAGCCATCAAAGGAGCCAGTCTCGATGGCCAATATGTTGTTCTGTGCCAACCAAATATTTACCTCAAAGGCTCCAAACTTTTCATCTCGACGACTGTTTGTTGTGACTGACAACGATAACCCCCACGCAGACAATAAGGGAATGCGGTCTGCTGCAACAGTTCGTGCAAGGGACCTGTATGACCTCGGCGTCAATATCGAGCTGTTTCCCATCTCCCAGCCGGATCACGAATTTGACACTTCTAAATTCTACGATGTAGGTTGTTAGCCTTGATTGCGTATAGGGGTATACTCACAGCCAGCAGGACATCATCTACAAAACATCGCCCAGTGATGGGGATGCCCCGGCATATCTACAGCCGGACACCAACACATCGACAGCTAAGGGTGACGGACTCTCGTTGCTCAATTCTCTATTGTCTAGCATCAACTCGAGATCTGTCCCTCGCCGGTCACTGTTTTCGAATGTGCCACTTGAGATCGGACCTAATCTTAAGATATCCGTCAATGGATATTTGCTCCTCAAAAAGCAAGAGCCTGCCAGGAGTTGCTTTGTCTGGCAAGGAGGCGAAACTGCCCAGATTGCCAAAGGCATTACAACTCTAATGTCCGATGAGACAGGACAAGAGATCGAGAAGGCTGAGACTCGAAAGGCATACAAGTTTGGTGGAGAGCAGGTTTCATTCACGATCGAAGAGCAACAAGCTCTAAGGAGCTTCGGTGACCCTGTGATCCGTATCATTGGGTTCAAGCCACTGTCAGCCCTCCCATTTTGGGCCAATGTCAAACACCCCTCGTTCATCTATCCCTCCGAAGAGGATTACATTGGCTCAACACGGGTGTTTTCTGCATTGCATCAGAAACTACTCGATTCTGAAAAACTGGCTTTGGTCTGGTTCATCCCCCGCAAAAATGCCTCGCCAGTCTTGGCTGCTATGATTGCTGGGGCTGAGAAGATTGACGAGAACGGCGTGCAGAAGATTCCACCTGGAATGTGGATAATCCCTCTTCCTTTCGCAGACGATGTGCGCCAAAACCCAGAGAGCACCGTCAACCGGGCAGGGGACGCGCTAACTGACGCCATGCGTGATATTATTCGTCAGTTGCAGCTTCCCAAGGCTGTATATGATCCTTCAAAATATCCAAACCCTTGTGAGCCTTTGCCCCTACAATTTGTTGAGAATGATACTGATGAATTTGCAGCACTTCAATGGCATTATCGTATTCTACAGGCTATTGCCTTGGATGAAGATTTCCCAGAACTACCAGATGACAAGACTGTGCCCAAGTACCGACAGGTTCACAAGGTTGGCTACTTCCATGATCTCAGAAATTTACGCGAACTTACTAACTAATGCATGCTCTACTATAGCGCGCTGGAGACTACATTCTTAAATGGGCCGATGAACTGAAATTGCAGGCCTCCGAGATGTTTGGCGGATCAGCAGCCACATCTACACTGGTAAAGCGAGGTGCAAAGACCGAGGCTGCCGGAGACCACCCAGCAAAGCGGGTGAAGGTTGAAGATGGCAGCTCTGGAGTGGAGGCGGAGGTGAAGAGATGCTATGAGAAGGGCACTGTTTCCAAGGTGGGCAATCAAATTCTCTCGTATATTTGACCAGACTAATACTAATACTCGTATTTAGCTTACGGTGGTTGTGTTGAAGGAATTCTTGCATTCACATGGCCGCGCTACGGCAGGGAAGAAAGCAGATCTCGTAGAACGAGTTGAGCAGTACTTCGAGACAAAGTTCTAAACGCTTTGGAAGATTGCTTGGGATCATTTGGTGTGAGATCCAGGGTTGCCACAATTTAAGGCCCGATTAATGAGTTACGAGTGTATCTTACTTTCCTGTTTTCATATGGCCAGTCGTTTTGAATCAATATTCTCTATCCAATTAATACCTCTAGCATTCAAAGAAAAAGCTAACTCCGCCAAAAAATAAACACATACCTAACTAGGGGAACCCTCAGAGTTTAGCTCAATACAAACTATCAACCACGATATAATCAAACAGTTCCACCTAGGACTGTTTGTCAAGATTATGAAATGCTTATATAGCGATGACTGCCGAAGATCACATCCGATTGTTTCTCCCCCTAACATCTTGCGGGGTGAGGTTCCACTATGAGTGGGACGTTTGTTTACAAACTCCAGATGTCGAGGGTATATCTTACGAAGATATTGCTATTTCAGTACATGATCGTAAATTCGGTAGATTTCAATATCGAATACTCAATTGCTATTTGTTTCTTCGTTGCGTAATATTATCTTGATGATAGGTTCGTTTGGGAGGTTTATGTGTTAAGATATATTTTGCACTCCGTACATCCATATATCCGAACTAGTTACCCTCTCATGCAGGCAAATCCTCAAGCCGAACTATCTAGTACCCTTGATCCAATCATAAAAGCGTATATTTACCAATCATCACAAATTGTGGGCGATGTGCTTAAGAGGTCCGTCCCCCGCATGAACGCGGGGCGTTGTAGCTCTGCCCCGTAAAAACATCCCATATCAGATGGGTCTATAAGTACGGGTATATGGTTTTTTTTTTCTTTCCAGTAAAGATTCAGCACTCATAAAAGCAATGCCGGTCTTCACTGAATACTCCTCCTCATCTCGGGATTTGAGAGTCCTGCCATCATTTGCACCACCATTACCTCGACTAACACCTCAATTCGAGCGCAATGATAAAAACAAAGACAAATATGAAGCAGTTGTGGTCGGCGTATGTAGTCTCCAAAGCTCTGATACCTAAACGGGATTCAGTATTCGAGCACAAAGAAACCCTAATATCATATCTAGGCCGGACCAGCAGGCCTAATGCTAAGCCTTCTCCTCTCCCGCTATGGACTTAGCGATGCCTCCCTTCTCTGTATCGACGCAAAGCCAAGCACTCTAAAATCAGGCCAAGCAGATGGTATACAGCCTCGCACGCTAGAGGTATTCAAATCACTGGGCATCTCAACCGAGATTGAGAACGAAGCATGCCAGATGTGGCAAGTTGCATTCTGGAACCCGTCATCTGACCCAAACAAAGTAATTGAGCGCACATCCATCGTGCCAGATGTTACTACTCCGGCGCGGTTTAGTTATGAGGCTACAATCCACCAAGGGCGGATCGAGCGCATCATGGAGACTGACCTGCTGCGGTATTCCGAGCGGGGTATTGTGCGGAATACGAAGGTTGTGGATGTCAAAATTGACGAAGAGGGAGATGCTGAGTTCCCGGTACTTGTGACTATGGCTACAGATGGTGTTGAGAAGACAGTGCGCACGAAACATCTTGTCGGTGCGGATGGGGCGCATTCAGTCGTCCGGCAGTGTATGGGACTGCGGCTGGAAGGAGAGTCTTTGGATCATATTTGGGGTGTGGTTGATATGGTTGCTGAGACGGATTTTCCTGATATTCGCCGCCGCTGTGCTATTCATTCTCCTGCCGGGTCCGTTATGATTATCCCCAGAGAGAGGATCTCCACGGGCGAATACCTCACTCGGCTGTATGTTCAGGTTCCTGAGGATGTGGCTCCTGAGGGCGATAAAGCCCCAGATGGAGTAGAGGGTGTTAAGTCTGAAGATGCGCGGCAGCGAAGAAGTAAGATTACCCTCGATGGAATTCTGAAGCAAGCGGCAGATGCGATCAAACCATACTCTCTCCGGCCCAAGGAGGATGCTGTTGACTGGTGGGCTGCCTATCAAATTGGCCAGCGTGTCTCGCCTGAATTCATCGTCAATGACTCAAAGGGGGTTGGAAGAGTCTTCATTGCCGGAGATGGTAAGTTCGTTTCGAAGACAGTGTATGAGCTCCAACTAACATAAATCATATTATAGCTTGTCATACTCATAGTCCCAAAGTAAGTCTCGGCATTACTCCCTCCCCCAAGGACATAGCTCACCTCTATTCCAACAGGCTGGCCAAGGCATGAATGTCTCAATGATGGACTCCTATAACCTAGCCTGGAAACTCGTGTATCATATTAACGAGCTAGCGCCCGAAACGACAGACCCTATCAGCGCCGCCCCACTGCTCCATACATACCAGATAGAGCGCCACGAAATAGCCCAACAGCTTGTCGACTTTGACCGGAAATTCTCTTCCATGTTCTCCGGCCAAATGGGCGCAACTGAAGGGCTGACACAAGAAGAGTTCCAACAGGCCTTCCAGCTCGGCAACGGCTTTACCAGCGGCTGTGGCATAGAATACCCAGAGAACATGCTAGTAATCCGAGATGAGCAAGAAGCACATATCAAGAGCAAGGGCCCAACCCCTGTTACCGGAACGGACTTCCTATCCGGCATCCTGAGACCAGGCCGGAGATTGCTCAATGTCCGACTGCTGCGGCACGCTGATGGGTGGCAGCGGGATATTCATGATGGTATGTCAGGCCAGATGTAGGTTCCGGGTGTGATATCTAACCAAACTACTCCACAGATATCCCCTCCACTGGCCGGTTCCGCATACTATGTCTCACATCGACCGACCTTCTCGATCGAAGCGGTGTCTCTGCACGGACACTAGAAGCAGTCACTTCGCTAGAAGCACAGTTCCCCAAGTCGACCATTGAGCAGATTATTCTACATCCCCGGCTACATCGGTCTTTTGAGTGGAAGGACGTACCGACGTGTGTGAAGCAACGGGCTGAGATGCGCTTCTATGATGGGTCAGCTTTGGACGATGCGTATAGTATCTATGGTGTAGACCCGGCACAGGGCGCATTGGTCGTGGTCAGGCCTGATGGGTATGTTGGCGTTGTTGCCTGTCTTGGAGATGTGGAGAGGGCTGGTGGATATCTAATGCAGTGTATTCGGACTATCTCTAGTAATTAGCACCTATCTTGGTATTGGCCAGAGCTTGCCGATAGAATCCAAAAATAGCAAGCTTGAATGGTAAGGTCTTTTTTGGACACCTGAAGGTTATTAGAGCATGGAGGCACGTTTGATAGTGAAAGTCAAATGTGTAAAATGCACATGTGTGAATGAGATATATGTAATGGTAAAAAATATACATTTCATGTACTCTGATTATCCAGAAGTCCATCAATAAAAGTGATGAAGTATGTTCACGAGGAAATTTGGCCTCGGCGCGCTTGAACGCAATGTATAAAAAAGAATCCCCCCTGAAAACTCCAAACAAAACGGGTGACCGAATTCCAGGGCAGGTGTTTGTACTGTTGAATGTTTGTACAGTCGCAAAAAATAATAATAATTTGCACATGACGAACGAAAAAAAGTGTGTGCAAGGAGGCGAAAATGTAACGCCACGTGTCCCACGATATGTAAATACCAGCCTGGGAGTCGCTGGATTTGGCAATAAATGCTCAAGTCGAGAGTGGATGATTCAACACTGCCCGTAGACTTGACAATAACATACTTGTTCATCGGGACAACTGTGAAAGACGGTTAGTTCAAACATTACAACGAAATATGATCAACCATAACTTACTATACCCCTTTCATACCAAAAATGATATGCCACAAGAACTCCATAACCCTGCCCGATGAAGCGTCGTTAAGTTCCGTATCGATAACCCATTGGCGGAACTTGACATAATCCTCCAAGGGACGCTTCTGAATCTGATCTCGCGAGATGGCAAATTGCGCGCAGCATGCGGCGCCAATCTGATCAGGCTTGCGAAGATAATTCTGGCCCGCGAACTCCTGTTGAGTGGGCGAAGAAATATTCAAGGGAGGTGTACTCGTGCCGTCGAAGACGTCAAACCAGATCTCCTCGGTGACATGACTATTGAAGCGGTGGGCGCTTTTGCAGCCCGGATTCCAATTGCATCGAAGATTCACATAGCCGTTCTGCTGGACGAAATCGAGATTTAAATTGCGCATGGCTATGACGTTGTCGTGGAGTGGCGCATCGACATGCCAGGCCATGAGGAAGCCTGCGCGGTGGGCGTGGAGAAAGACAACGGTGGAAGGAAGCTTGTCGTAGTTATCAATGATATACGTGAAGTAGGCCATAGACTCGTGGCCTTTGTTCAATGGGGTCGTAAGAGCGTTGCCGTTTAGTCGTGTCTCGGGCGATGGGTTGACAGTGTAGATTGCGCGTTGCCAGCTGTTTAGAAACAAAGAAAGCCAATCAGTCGTGCGCGGAGTATTGGAGATCAAGAAAGCACTCACTCAGGAAGTTCTTCTTCCACCCATCCAGTAGGCTCTTCTTCCAGCTTGGCCATAACAATCACCTTATCACCCGGTATGATCTCGCCATGTGGCCTCGGGACGGTGTCATTGCGATCTAGCCAATTAAACACATATGCGCCGGCGCCATATTGATCGCAAATGTCTTGTAGATGTGTCTCGAGTAGATATAGTGAGAATAAAATGAGAGACAAGACACAAAACCCTGCAATACGGAGTCCACTTTTCATTATGAATGATGAGTGAGAGAGATCTCCCGGGGACTCTGCGGACAGGTACCCGTAGGTGTAAATTCAAGGTAGAGGTTTCACCAATAAGCCATTAATATATACTGTTTCCGATGTATAATGGTGATGCGAAATAGGAGGGCAAGTTGGATCCAAAGTAACAATACCCCTGGAGGCAAATTCAAGCAACGAAGTAAAATAATACAAAAAAAATAAGGTGTAATCGAAGGTTGGAATAATAAGGAAAGGAGAGAGGGGAAAAGATTAGGGTACAGAAAATTTGTACAAACAGTGAAATCAAAGAGAGGAGGGGAGCTCATTTCTAAATGAAAGTGGACTCCCACCACCCCCAACTTTAGCTCATGCTCATATCATTATTGGCCACTGTGAGGCGTTGGCTCAGGGGAGCGTTAAATAGGATAAGGGGGGAAGATCCATAGCCTCAGATTACCGTACCGCAGTCCCACCCGGGGCCATGGGTATTCATACGTTTGAATTCAGTTGCGCATGAACCACCATTGTACGGAGTACTGACCATTACATTTGATACCATAAATCAATCGTTTCAATATTTATAAAAATGTTTAATCTCCTATAACGTGGATATATACTTCAACGTTTAACGTTAAAAAAAAGTACTATGTAAGGGTTGCATATGCGTACATGTACCGTATAGTGAAAGTATTACAACATACATATAATACATCCACGTGACCTTTCACTTCTACTAGTCACTACCTGACTTTCTATTCTAGGTATATATCTGTGTATGTTTACTATTGGAATTTTGAATACTTTATACATATTACTCGACATTTACTACGTACTGAGGACGACTAGGTTGATGCCAAAGGGTGGGTTTTGGTTTTGGTTGAACCCTTCTATGGTTCCAAAAAGTGCGGCAAAGCTTGGCTCTGGGGTACGCTTACCCTTTTTAGCGTAGGGTTTACACTTGAGCCGTGGACGGGCGAGATGAAGGCTTAACGTTAAAGGAATGGACCCCATTCGCACAAATTGGGACGGAGTCCTAGGCAAACGCCATTTTAACCTGTCGAAAAGAGAATCCACCGTGGCGACACGCGTGTTGTTTTACCCGTACCACGGAATGCATGTGGCGTTAAGTTTGAGACTGCTAATCTGAAAAGATTTCTAGCATGCAGAAGTGATCCTGCAGTGGTGATTGTAAAACGTCCTCCACCAGACTATTGGGTAATCTCGTATCACAGTGGGGCCGTGTCACTTTGTTGAGGGAGGATCAGTGGTCGGCTGTGTTGAATTCTTTTGTCAAAACACAATCTCCTTGGGAAGACATCAAACCCTAAAATCTTCGCGTTCCTTGGCGTGATTTCATACGTTGTAGCCCGAACGGACCCCTTGAGAGATTCGGGGTTCCAACATGTGGGTTCTCTGATTGCGGCGTGTGGTTGTGGCATTAGGCCCACATATTGACCGATCAGCGGCAGTGCAAATTGTAATGACGTCTCTAGGCACATGGGCTTAGAGATTCGATATTGCAATATGAATCATAGGCAAGGGGGAGTTATGTATAGATTTCCCGGTAGATCAGTTCACGAGAATGCAAGCCAGTGATTGCCTTGCGCTATAGACGATAAGACAGGGGGGGCAATCTGCACTAGACACTTAGGCGGGAAGCGATTCCTAATTTACTCAAGCGGGGAACACTCAAGCGAGACATTCTGTGCTCGATAGGGCCCGGCGCATTTTTATTATGCGTCATCGCGACGCGTTGCCCGCTGAACAGTGTACTGTGTCGTCGTTGGATGGTAATGGGATATGGACTGCACCTGGGCACTATCTAAATATTTGGAATTATGCCACGTGGTCGACCTTGTTTCTTGGCACGCTTGATCTTTGCATCAGTGAAGTCTCGGTGATCTCTCGGATCGACGTACATGCTTGTTAGACTATGGTAATGTTGAGCTATCGTACTGTTATAGCCCCGTACGTCGCTTGAAGTCTTCATAGCTGATTGTTAAATGCGCTTGATTCTGCATGGGCCTAACCTTGACGAACCCTAAACTTCATAGTACGTTGTACAATAGTACGGAGTTCATCCCCAGAATAAAGTATTTTGGACCCACATCTGCGTTGAAAGAGATCTTGAAGAGTTGGAGGCTGCAATTCCTCATTTGTTAAATATTAAGCGGATATTTATGCAAATAGTGATCCTATCCATGCGGCCGAGATCCATTGAACCCTATATGCCTGGTCACAGCTGGAAAGAAAATGATCGGATCGATCCCGGGCTTGAAAGCTTCGCTAGAACCAGTGATCCAGTATCTGATTGAATGCATGGATTACAGATGTACAACTAAATTTTTGGGAGGCGAATACTTTCCGAAAAGTATAGATATATGTAGTACCTCAATGCCCACCCACGCTTGTTACAAAATAATACTAGGACCAAAAAGATACAACCTGCATAGTTATATATTCTCTTTCATGTTATAAGTTACCTAACTTGGGAGTAGCTGATTCATAATTGAATCTACACTGTCCATGTTGTAAACACTTGCGAAGTTCTCGGTGTTAAGGTAAACTAATGGAGATAATCGACAGTAAAATAGAGAAGTTTTAATCAATTGACAGAGGACACAAGAGTTGCAGTCCAGCTGCTTCTTGTGCTTATATTATGCTACATGGAGATATTTCCCGGCTAATCACTATCATCACCATCTTCTTCATCGCTGACCTCCTCCCCATTTGCAATCGCCTCCTCTCGGATTTTGCGCGCACGTTCCCGTTTCTTGTTCAGCAAAGCATTCAACTTCTTTGCAACATTGAAGACACCCCCAGTTCCTTCGCCACAGGCAGCGCACGACGGGGTCTTCCGGTACCGTTGTAGGGCACAGGCTTCACAGAAATAGTGCCCACATTTGGTGATGATAGGTTCTTGATAAGGTTTCTTGCAGATAAGGCAGGCGAATGGGATGCTCTCTAACAATTCATCCTCATCGTCTTCATCGTCTTCCTCGGTTTTCCCTGCGCCCTTTCGCTGTGAAACCACTCGCCCGCTTAGTTGCTTGCCCTTGGTGTTGACTTCCCAGTCGCGATCTAGCTCCCATCCGGCCTTGTATGCCTCACGAGAATGGAGATATTTACAACTATCTCCAAAGCCACACTAATTTCAGACGGGTTAGTCTCGATTCACAATAGATATATGGAGTTGAGGGCATAACTCACGTAGCCAGTCTGTTTCCAATCTTTGCACACATCGGGGGCATAATCCATCACAGTGATAGTCCTAACATTGGTTGCGGCTTTAACGGGACCGAATTTCCCTGGTGCATCAGGGTTCTTCTGAATGAAAGATTGATAGTTGGCAGCGCCTTTGTAGGTTCCGTCCGGCTGTGAAACAGAGCCTGGATTTGCGCGAGTTGTACCAAGCAAGTTTTTCTCGCTCAGGTCTTCATCATACCAGTCGGAGCGCTT